ACGTCGACTATTGCGTCTTCAGCATCAGCAGCTTGCTGCTTCCTTTTCATGTCAGCGATGCGATTCTGCAGCACTTGCGCTTCTGCTCGCAGTTGCAGGTTCTCAAGTCTCTGTCGATCTCGTGACCGGTGCCTTCTGGGGAGTTGCTGTTTGGTTGCATCTGTTGGGCCCACTGTATTGTCTGAAAAGATCTTGGCGTGTCTTGGCCGGCTTGGATGTAGCTTTGCTGTGTACCAGTTGACATTGGTTGAGTAGCGTTGGTGGTGAATGGAAGATCTCTCATTACTGAACAGGTCGTTTCCGTTCTCGTCGATGAAGGCCAACGCCGCCTGTAGAGTCTCATTGTCTTCTCCGTCCACAAGGTGCAGACTCATTGCTGAGGTTATTGTAAAGTCGAAACCAAACCTAAACGAGGTCTTCGATGCAAGATTCTCTAATGAGTATCACTGATGGCAGTGACGTCACTTTTGAGCGCAGTAGTGATGAATGAGTCGAGTTCACCATAGTGTATGAGCCATAAGGTTAGTATTAGTGATTAGTACACTCCATTCGTTTGTCCATGTGAATGATGCAATCAATCAATCCAATCCAAATACAATCCGGCTTTAGATATTGTGCTTTGCATTTAGTTTGCTCTGCTAATTAGTGCACTAATTAGTGTTCGTACTTAGTGTTAAATCATGGAAGCTTTGAATCGGAGTTGCTCAAATCGTGTTTTCAGCACGGTTTAGCAGAAAATGACACTGTCTGGAAGTGCCAAACTGATCCTTATTCGTATTCGATGTGCCAAGTCGTGTATTAAATGCTTGACCGCACTACTAGCTGCCGGAAAGATGATGCATGATTTGTACTAAATCGTACTCGAGTACGATTTGTTGATAATTAGTACTTGAAAAGTCGTACGAACTACAATCGAAGGTGCCAAAAAGTCTGCAAACCACAAATACATAAATACAAATTAAAAAAAAACGACAGGAGACCCGACCGCATCCACACAAAGTCCGGTTTTGCCATTTGTTTACACATTGATACATTGATAGGTGCACTTGTGCTTTCTCCTTGAAGCTACAGCAACGTCGAAGTCCGTTTACACCTTTGTTAGCGGAAGTAAAAACGAAAAAGTAATGACCTGGTCATACCTTAAGAGCTGATTCCACGAGACACCAGCATTTTTTCGGCTGATATCTGCGGATATCGTCACTTAGGTTATGACCTAAAAACTACGTTTTCATTGGCAAGAATTAAAGCGGGGCAAAAGCAGAATTCTCAAAGTTGAACTTCCCAAGACGCGGACGTGCTCCCAGCGGAGGCCTTAACGGAGCTGCTCCAGAAACAGATAGAAAACATAACGATACGGCGGGCTCAAGACATTGCAGCACGAGATGTTGGAAGCGCGGATCCTTTTTTTATTTGGTGTGTCAGTGTTCTGCTTGAAGCCACTACAGTTTGACCGACTCCTAAGCCAGACGGGCAACAAAGCATCCGGGTATCTGTGTGGAGATCGAGGAGTCCTCGACGAGGACCACCGATGGATTCAGTGCATCGCGCTACAGACCACGCGTGCCGGTACTGACACGGGCAAGCAGTATCTGCCTAAGTAGTAGGACTTGGAGAAAACCTCAACAAGCCTGACAACCAGATCACTACAGACTGCACGTTCAAACCTAACCGGGAAAAGCGCGGGTGACCCACCAACTGAGCGGCGCACCAATCGCGGCCCGGGCTCCAGCGAGGAGGCATCGGTGCGTCGCGTGCTAAGGAATCGAACAGGTGTGAGGCCATCGACGCAGACTGACCACAGTAACTTTTTGGGAAGCGGAGAGTTCTCTGAAATACATAATCACCGTGAAAAAAGACTTCATGTTAAAAGCTTTGAATATACGAACTAACCTTCACTTGCTCCTGCATCTGCAAAAGCCTTCTCAACGTTTCAATTGTTGCAGTTTGGCGAGTGTAGATGTCACAAAGGTGTCGGTTTGCCGCATCAGATTCTTTCCGAAGCCGGCGGTATTTTTTTTTGCTAGATCCTTCCACACGTCGAAGCGGGGACCATTGTCTTGGTCGAAAGTCGGATTCATCACGTCGACTATTGCGTCTTCAGCATCAGCAGCTTGCTGCTTCCTTTTCATGTCAGCGATGCGATTCTGCAGCACTTGCGCTTCTGCTCGCAGTTGGAGGATCTCAAGTCTCTGTCGATCTCGTGACCGGTTCCTTCTGGGGAGTTGCTGTTTGGTTCGCGGACGTGGTAAACTAGTTGTCCCGGCGGTATTGCGAGAAATTCTGTTGGTCTGCTTTGAATGCCGCGTGACATTGTTGCTGTTGTGCTTGGTAGTATGGGATTCACGGGAGCTTGACGAGCTCTCGTCGCTGAACAGGTCGTTCCCGTACTCGTCGATGAAGGCCAATGCCGCCTGCAGAGTCTCGCATTCTTCATCGTCACCGAGACCCAGACTCATGCTGAGGTTATTGTGCGGTAAGAGTGAAAACCAAAAATAACTGTAGTCGAGGTTCTCGATGGTTTGGTTTATTTTGAAAGTATCAGTGATGACGTGAGTTTATTTTGTTGCAGTAGGAAGGTCATTGATTAATACCCAATACTCACAATCGTACAATATGGGGGTATCAGTGATGGTGTGAGTATAATGAGCACCTCACAATGAGTGGCATGGTTAGTACGAGGGTTTAGAACAGTCTATTGGTCCGCAGTTCTGTGAATAAAAACACAATCGATCGCCAATCGAATCGAACTACGAAGTACAGTTTAGGTAAATGCCGTTTGGGTACACCGGAGATAAAAAAAACCAGGCACTCTACAGCTTCAACTAGAATCCTTGTAGTTTTGTTCATGGCATTATCTCGTTAACTCACCAACATCAACGGCTACGATCTCGACGTTTCCAAATCACGAAACAGACCGAGTGCCTTTACGTTTTTGACCTTGGTTGGATGGTCGTGATCGCTATGATACTTCTTTTATTAGAACCTTGGTGATTTGGTTTGTTACTACTAAAAGAGCGGATGATTCACTGGGACTACTTCCAGATCCGCCCAAACAGGCAGCAGATGGCAAAATACGGACATCATCAGGATTTACAGGTTGCTCTGTAAGATGTTGGGGCTTGGTCTGGTAAGCAGGATCCTCGGTAATGACTTTGTCCCTCCAATGAAGCTACGTCAGGCGATGGAGAAGTAGTGCATCTAGCGATTTACAACATCCTTACCATGCTGACATGTGAGACAAATTCAAAACGCTCTGATGTCTTGTTGAGCACCACCCATTTCAGGCATTTTAGGACTGAGGTCATCCCGTGGCGCCCGCAGCGTACGCCCTCAGTGCCCCAGATGTGTGCAAGCGCCATTATGGGGTATAAGGGTCTTCAGCAACATTTCCAACTTTCTATGGCTTCACCTGCCGATATTACCGCTACGTTTTCTGACGTTGTAGCTATGAAGATCAAGTTGTACCTTTCTACCTTACAACACGACCTGGGTGTATGCACTCAGCAGTTAAAAAAAGCCGACTATATGATCCACTTGTTTGACCGCAACTATCTGTTTGCGTCACTTACACCGATCGAGTAACTTCTTTACTTGATTAGATCACTATAGTTATGAAGTCCCTTGGTCGCCAAAGTTATCGCGATTGAGACGCCCCGAAAAATCAGGGTAGTTATCAATTTGGGCAGTTCGGTAGCTATAAAGGCATAGATACTCACCGGCGGATATGCTCTTAGGACATTGCAATCTGTAGTCGAAGCGGCAAGGTATCACTTTTATTTCTGCAGTGTACCCACACGGCATCCAACTACTTCGTACTTCAATTGGATTGACAACCGATTGTGTTTTTATTCACAGAATTCACAGAACTACAGACCAACACCGTTACGTCTTATCAAAAGTAACTTCTTATAGCGACAGGGTGGGAGGAGCATGGGAAAACTTCCTACAATAAATCACAGCAGCAGGGTTTTGAATAACGGTAAGTTCAACGTGCAATTGACTGTTTTTGTCTTTTACAGAATTTGGTCGTATTCATGCCGTGTTTGACAGCCACGTCCTTTGCATACGTACGAAACATCAAACGCAAGAAGAGAGCACTGTCACGACGCAGGGCGTTGATCCTGCGTTCAATTTCTTCTTCAACCTTTTCGGACAGACGGTAGCGTCTCTGTGGTAGTTTCCGCTTTGCTGGAAATGCTGGTGTGCTATTGCTTGCAAGTTTAGAAGTGAACTTCCTTCTGACTAACTCCTGCTCCTGCATTCTACTCGACTGCTCCTACTCCTATCAGGGCCACAGGTTTCACCTGGACACAGCCTTGAGAGTCGAGCACCAGGGTTGCAGTAAAACTGCAACTTCACGTTGATAGACGCCGCTGTAGTTCGGGATGGGGTTCTTGATTCAGGATAGCCTCCTTGCCGTTGAGGAAAGACTCCTTGCTGTGCCACACACTACAGTCTCCGAGGTGTCGTAGATTTCGATGAGACCCTCGATCAGAAGGACAAGCTGCAGGAATGGTGACGGTTTGTTTACTCCACTTGTTGATTTGTTTTCGCCCGACGTGGCCTGGCCGTAGAACCTGTCAATAGTTTCATATAGGTTGTGAACCTGTGTAATGCAATCCAGTACTTCTTTCTTGTGCGCGGCCCTGCTGTAAGTTTGCGAGAATGGGCCACTGCCGTTAATGCAGGGTCGAGAGCTAGTTTGGGCAACGGAGGCGTCAACACAAAGCTGCTGATAAAATCTACGAATTTATTATCAGAGAAAAATTAATTAGCCTCAAGAAAGCCGATATTGAAAATAAAAACAAAGCTTAAATATCATCTAGTTCTAGAGGTAATATGCAGAGTTGGAAAAAAAGTGCATCTTCAAATGAAGAAAGCTCATATGCCAAGTCAATTATAATAATTGTTCTATTATTTAGTCGTCAGTGCTCGAAATTTAAATAGGGGCGGGCTAATCTATCAATTTATCCCATTTACTTCGTCCGACTTAACGAACCAGCTCGTGTTGGAAGAGAATGAGTAAGTAGATGTTATAATGAATTTTCAAGGTAAGTAACAAATAGCAAATTTATATGTTGATATTATTTATTCGCCACAGGCGACAGCGCACATGAAGTTGGTAAAAAATAATTAGTCGTCACGATAGGTGTCACTTTAAAATCAACGATGTTCCAAGACAGCTCAAGACATCATAATGGCAGGCAAATAAGGTTTTGCTTATCGCTTATTTATTGGAAGTTGCTGACCAAACCTGGTGTTTTAAATTGTCGTGCCCTTGTTTCTTCGATAATGTTAAATCTTTAAACAGTTGTTACAATTCTGTTCTCAGAGTTAGGGGTCCCAACGTTAGTACTTAAGCTCAACTTCAATCTTGAGGTTAATCATAGGTTGAGGTTAACAATCAACGATTATTAACCTCGAAACCACTCATGCGGTCCCCAAAACCGTAAAATGACGCCGACGACCTGAATCTACGCTGTACGTACTACTATTTGAACCTTGCATGGCTAGTACCAGTGTATCGAGGTGTTGTGTGAACTACTGACCTGTTCATGGTTAGCTCTGTGTGTGATCTCACGTCGCCGCTGACAGCGACTGTGTCGAGGATCTGATCCTGAAAGAACGAGTGTTGGTGGACTGCAACACTAGGAGAGTACATATGCCGCTGATGTATGCTGTGAAAAGGAACTTTGTGGAGCTGGCGCGGTATTTAGTCCTAGAAGCCGGCGCAATTGTGAACAAGAAGTACGAAATGGGTGTGCCAGAACTGTACACTGCTTATCGGGACGACTGTAGGAAGTGGTGGAAATTTTAGTTGTAGAAGCTCACGCTGATATAATCGCACAGGCCGTTGCATGAAGCATTAACTGGTGAATATACACAAGTAGTGGACTATGCTACGTACCGGAGCTGACAAGTACGTGTGGATATTGCCATTGGACAAATGGTGTGACATTGGGCAGCAGGACATGGGCAAGTTGAGATGCTGGAGATGCTTGTTAAGCATGACGTTCGCTCCATCCGTACGACTAGGAACGTGTTCACAAACTGATGGCGAGGCATCCATTCTACTACGTAGCAGTGGAAGGCAAGACTGGTTTTGTTCAAGCTCTACAGGAGAAGAAGCTCGGGATGACGTTAACTTTACGGTACTGCATTTTTTTATATGCTGCTCTCGATGACCACGTCGACGTCATGCAAGGGCTGCTGCGCTCCGGTGAGAACCCACAGCTGTGTCTACCCGTAGATCAACTTTAACTAGAGCAGTTAAATGACACCGAGTCGAGCGCAAACTTGTGGAAATGGATGGCACCCGCCCCATGTATATTCATTGAAGACGATGTAGACCCTGGCCTCACATGTAACACAGTAGTGAGCGCTGGGGCGACGAAGCGAAGACCGCGCCGAGACGTGGACCGGCGAAGTGAGGAACCGAGGCGACACGAAGCGAAGACCTGAGGAGGTGTGGCCAGTTGATGGACCACTGGGGATTGTTTGGTAAATTGAAAAGTGGATTGAAATGAGGAAGGCTCTTACGGCTACCTGGCACCTACGGGAGGCTCACAGTGCTCTCCTAAGAATACAGTAGAGTGTATCCTAAAGTTTATCTTTTCCTATCTTCTGATTTGGCTAGCTACCAATGATTTTCTTATAAACTTCCAATGTTGACTTGATTCTCTGGCGTCCCATAATCAAGCTTCGAGAACATTCTCGATTTGCAGCCAATGAGACCTTCTCAATGTCTCAGTGTGACGGCGTAAACAAAACTAGCATATTATTAGAATTTAGTTTTTGCCAATCACATTGTGGATACATTTAGAATATGCATCTTGCACTTCAATGCCTGACAGAGTGAAAATGACAGCACTCCGTCACATCACACGATACGAATGAGATGTTTGGAATATTTCCTCAAGAGCGGTCTCGCTATGATTCTCTTCCAGTATTTTCGTGGTCGGGTTACGCTGTGAAGGACAGCTTTGCACTTCACATATTCGTTGTGGAGTGGCGATACCGTATAGTCTTAGTAATAGGCGACGTTTGGTCCTAAGCGACATACTGCTTTGACCAATAGTGTTCCAGAAAAAAAACAGTTGGTTACAGGTTACAGTGTGCTATTTTAGGCTTTGAATACTCTAATTGCTACGTTGCGGGTCATCTGGTAATATACGGAAGAAAACCGGTGGCCCTTCGATAACCATAGGGAGAATCACTGTGAACTGGTTGCGCTGTAACATCTACGCTCTTACAACGATGGCAAAATAGACCGTCTAAGTCGCAGAAAACAAATTGAAGCACAAATTAACGTGGCACGGACAACCCTAGACCAAGAGGAATCGGCTAAAACTGTGGCTGGTTTAATAAAAAAAAACTCGACGATGAAAACTTTTGCTAATTGCACCCAGTCGACCTGTGATAACGGATTGGATCACGTCGTGCTGGTCGAACCTGTCCGCTAAGACCATATTAAGCGGTTTTGCAAGGGCGGGCCTTCTTATGGATGTTCGCGAGGTCAGCAGCGAAGAAGACAGTGTTCATGATATCGACAGTGTTGTTGCTGAGCTTGTACGCTACAAAATTACAGAAGAAGAGATCAACTCCGAGGACGACATTGGAAGCGAATATAGTGAGAGTGAAGATGATAGTGATAACGATGATACTTTAAAAAAAAAACTGGAGTACTGCATTGACGTTGGGCATCGAAAAAAATGGATTGACAGTTAATAAATCTGTGTCGAGTCAACTTTAAATCTTAGGATTTGTATGGGTACCTTGTTACACACTTTGTTCGACCCTTGTCGCCTATTACTAAGACTATACGGTAAGGACGATTATCAATTCATTTATTCGCTTGGCGTTCTACCTCCTACTTTTAAGCTCGGATGAGATCAGCCCAGTGACGTAGCTTACGAGTGAAGCGCTTTACATTAGATGATCAGGCTGAATTCTAGGATTCTACAAGTGACATCTACTGAAAATGGTTTTCGTTCTGCTCGGGCTGGGCAATGTTGCTGCTAATTGGTACGAACACACCAAATCCTTCGCAGCTCTCAGTAGTGAAGACTTGCTGACGGATGAAGCTGCTCGTAAATTTGAGTTGTGCTGAGGCGTTCTAAACCGGTACGCTGAAGGCTGGACCGGTTGGCCGGGATTTTCCGCCATTGCTATTAAGTTTCAGTATGAACATAATGGCAAATGGCGCCTTCCCAAATTAAGAGGGGCTGTTTGCTCACACTTGTAATTACTATTAAAATGTGCACTTAGGAAGAGTGTACAGAGAGGTTTAGAAAACCTCAAGACTGTCTTCAACGTCAACGACAAAGTTGAGGTTAGAATCAGTTGACGTAAGGTTAAGACCTTAACGTTGGAACCCCTACTCCTAGTTTTTTTTGACTAGCCGACACAATCAAGCAACAGTCGAAAGCACTTGAGTTCCCCTACTCAGAGTATTTTTTTTACTAGCCGACCCAACCCGTCAAGCAACAGTCGAAAGCACTTGAGTTCGTGAAGTAGGTCACACTTAAAAAAAACGCGAACACAGTCGGGGGAAGCTGGTACTTCAATAAGTCTCTTGGCGACTGTATTGCGCTTGCCGGCTTTGATGTAAAACCGAAAGTGAACTATAAAGACATACACACCGACAAACCGCTCTACCTAGCTATCACTAGCGTCCCAGTGACAGCGTCCTGCAAGGCAACGTCCTGGTAGCTCTCAGTCACGATGTATACCAGCCCGAGTTAACAAACATGTGCAGTAGACAATCTTCTGCGTGCGTGGCCTCGTCTCATGGGCCATAGCACTTGATGTGCACTTCACTGCGTGCTGAGCCACTACATAGTGGCTAACTATCCGCACATGCTACCATAGCTCAACTACAGAGCTTCACTCACTGTATTGCGTGGTTGGCGTTGGGCTTTCGCACCGCCACCCACGCCAAGCCCAATTCGACCACTCCGGCTTTTGGTTGTACATACTGTATTACGAATAACTCACTGCTCAGTGATATCTTGGCTCATCGTGACTAATCGCTCGACTAATCAACCAGTACACGCTATGTGACCAACTTCAACCTGTTGCAGTTGAAGCATACTTGACCATACAAACAAATCCAACAGAAATTGATCAAAACTACCACAGTATCAAAAGAAGAACTTAATTTAGTGAAACTATACATGTAGACACTTTAGCCTTAGCGTCGCTTTTCTGACGCTTCGAGTGCTTTGCGGTGACGCTCAAGCTTAGTGTCTTTGCCTGCGGCAACGTACTGTTGCACGAACGTACCCACGCCGATGTGCAGTGCTGCTAGAAGTCCCATGAGTCCTCTATTGCCTCCAACCCATGTCACTCGACAAGGATCTCGTAGGCTCCGCTCGTATTGTTCCAGCGACGCCGAAGTAGCTCGCGCACGCGAAGGATCATACCCTGAGCAGCCACGTGCTCCAGGAGCTCCTCAGTCACCTCGTGGTCCTTGTCAGCGAAGAACTTTAGCCGCGAGGCATGCACGTCAAGCTCCACGCAATTAACGAGATGTTTCACCTTGAAGACGGTTGTGCTCCAGTGACAGCGTAGGATCCAATCCCAGTGACGAGTAGCTTGTTCTGTCCTTTCTCATCCACACATGATTGTAGTATATTTTTGCCCACGTTGATGTGGACCGCATTATCACCTCGCTGCTTTTTCTTGTTCAGTAGTGCCTGCTTAAGCCAGATATCTGCAACTGTGGTGAAGCGCTTGAGAATTTTGGAGAATGTGAGACGGATGGAAATGGACCAGTCAGCTGCGAGGTGTCACCTACTTCAAGTGCCCAACCAGAACCATCATTCTGGAGGCACCGTCATTGTGGTCAAGACTGGATAGACAACGTGCAATCATTGCGATACTTGATCGCCAATCTAGTCCGATATGGTGCAATAATTTCGATAACCCCGGTTCGAAGTGGTAGTAGATCGACTGATTTGTTGTACCCATTGATGGATACCACAAAGGCCCAGACTTGAGTAATCATGGGATGGGTAGAAGGTAGGGACCGCTAGGACTTAAAGGGATAACAGAGAGGCATTTGCCTTATCAGGAACAAGTTTCTTCGGTACAAGATTGGAAACTGTAGCGGGAAGTATATTGGCCCATACAGTAATCAAGTTAATTCTAACAAGTACACGTGTCAGTCGCCGGAGTTTGCAGCTTGGCCGGTTGATTGTCTCCGCTCTCGCCCTCAACTCTCCCGCTATAGGAAGCGGTCAAGCCTTGCAAGAAAAGGAACAAGGAACCCCCCGCAAAGGAATACACACACCAAGTCGATCAAGATCGACGACCTCCCTGGCATTTTGAAGGTTAGCATGAGAGCTGAGACAATAGTTCCTATGGTACGATAGTCGTTCAAGTTTAGATTGTAACGCTGTGTCACGAGACAGAGAGAGAGAGA